TGTACTATTTTATAGAGTGTCAACGATACAAGAGGATAACGAACTCGACGAATTTCGACGAACCGCTGACAGCGACTGTATGAGTCCGTTCGTTAGTCGAGGCGCTTTCATTGGTGACGAAGTTTGTGTAACAGAAGAAGAACGTCAGCAAGTAAAGTTAGAAAATGCCATGCAACATTCTGCTATACGTTATTATGCGTTTTTCAATGGTCAAGATAGTGTGGGCACCTAACTGATGCATGATTGATGTGCGATACAATTGGACTGTTTAGATTGAATGGATGCCGAATAGATGAAGAATTAGTTGTTGTAATTGTTCGTAAGCAATTTGCACTTTATGAAAAGATCATCATGAATTTTGCACACAAAGTTTCCAGAGGAGGAGTCTAACATTTCACTTCATATTGCTACCGTTGAAATTAACATTATACTGTCATACATTCATGTATCAAAGAGACAAAATATCTGTTGTTGTTAAAGAATAAATAATTCTGTTATATTTGAAATGTTACAGTCTGAATTATAAATACCACATTCAAAAAAATCCCGAAAATAAGCGATGAGCATTGGGATGTTTTTGAGCAATTATGAGATCAAACTTTGATAATCAAAAACAATTTGAGCAAACAACAAACATTTTAACTGTCATGCGATTGAACGGTATCAGATAATGTGAACGGATCAATTTTGAGATTGCGATCATTAAAAATCCGGATTTTCGAATCCAAATCGACTGTTCCTAATCGTTTCGACATCTGATAGAGTTGCAACAGCTGAGATTGATTGGATGATTACTGCTATGTGAAACACCCTTCCATCATCGAATAATCGAAATAATTGTCCTTTTTTACCATCATCATGATTTGAGTTTTAGTTTGGAATGAACGAATTTTTGTTGAATCCAACCGTTATTATTCAACCAATTAAGAGCAATATCTACTCCTGTGTTATTCATGTAACACATCCCAATGGTATTTGCCAATATTGTATTGTTTTTCGCTTGCTCTGCAAGTTGAGCTAAGTATCAGATTGTTTCGTCCAATATTGGGTACTTTCGTTTGATTTCTAGTAGTTCTGATAAAAAGTCTTGAATTCTTTATTATTAATCGCACAGTCGGACGTTTCGAAAATTGGATTGGAGACATTGACAACTGTTTGAATGAGACAAATTTCCGACGTTTCGTTTATCATTTCTGAACGTCTTGACATCGGTGTGAAATCGTGTCCATTTTGGTACCTGCTGAGTGGTTCAATCCGTGATCGTGGTTCAATCTCATCTGATGCTTGACCCAAGAAGAACCCAGTTCTAGCTCACAACTAACTGATCAACAAGCTATCGATGATCTGCATAAACGTTGTTCGTTCACTNTCGTTCACTCATTTATTCACCATGTGATTTATGAGCACTATCAATACCTCCCCATCAATAACTTGGTGTCTGATGTTTCACGTACATACTGCTCAGTTGTCGAATGCTCGATGTGACTCACCGAAATCACACAATTCAATTCGATTCCATAAGAAGTTTGTTTCAAAAAAAACTATATTCTCGTTTCTTGAACGATTGAAGAGCTGATAAAACCTTTTAGATGTTCTCATTTGTTTTTGTTTAATCGATTGTGACGACTGGCAGCGCAATCCGGGAAGACAAAGTAAGATTTTAAGTGGAATCGTTGATTAGAAAAACCGATCGAATTGT